GCTCGGCTCGGCTCGGCTCGGCCGTCGGGCCCCTGGGCTGCCAGGCAGCGCCGGCACCCGGCGTCACAATATTTTGGCAGTGTGAGCGAGCGCGGAGGCTGCTCAGCCGCGCAAGGGCTGAGCGAGGCTCAGCGCCGCACAAAGCCGGGTTTTGTCGCTCCCGGCTCCTCCGGCACACGCCGCCCGGCCGCCTCCCGCCGTGCCCGGCCGCAGCCCCGGCCCCCGGCTCGCCCCGCTGCACGGTGCTGCAGGGACCGGAGCTGCTGCTCCTGCCCCCGAGGTTTCTGCAAAGCCCGGTTATATAAAGTTTAATTATAATACTTGGCTCTCGTGTAACGCTTTCTATCTGCAGATCTCAAAGTGCTTTCTAAGCATTAAACAAGCCTCACAATGCCCTCTCCCGTCTTCATGTGGGAGGGTTTGCTACACCCTTTCTTTATTTATTTTAAATGCTGTCAGGAGAAACTAAGGTGCAGAGATGGGAAAAGGCTTGCCCAAGATCATCCAGCAGGTCAGTGGCAGAGCTGGATGCAGAACTGAGGTGTCTCCTTGACTCATTCCCATCTTTAATTCCCTGGGAATGCTGCCTTCCTCTGGGAGCAGCTGTGCCTGGAATCAGCTGGGTTTTGGGATCTGACTGGTCTCTGTGCTGATCTGCAGTGAAATGCCTCAGTGACCTACACACAGTTCACAGCAGGGTTGTTCTCCTTTTGGGAGCTGTTCCCCCATCCCTACTCAGAAAGTTTGGGCCCAAGCCTGCCCACTGCATGCAGTGGCTTTTTTTGACTTAATTTTATGAACTGCCAGGGAGGAAGGAGCGGGACCTCAGCTCAAGGTCTCACTATCAGCAGCTCTGGAGCCAATTTGGCTGTAGTGCATTTGTACCTCAGAAGGGACCATTCCCTGGCATCTCCTTCCCCATCCCCCTCCACGAAAGGTCAAGGAAATGAATGGGACAGCGAGATGTGCAAGCCTGTAAATATTTAGCAAGCCACTCGCTTTTACATTGCAGATTTTGCTCTGTGGGCATGGCTGTTAATATCAGCGAGACATTAGCTCCGAACAGCACCCGTCACACTGTTAACACTGAAAGTGCTCCGTCAAAGCGGCTTTGCCGTGAATTACGGGGCTCCAGCTCCAGCTTTACTAGCCTGGAGTTTGTACAGCAGGAACGCCAACCCCACGGCGAGGAGAAAAACCCTGGTAGCAAATTAAAAGGAAAGAGTGTTGCCTGCAAAAGTGATACTGCCCTGCCAGGAGCTGGGGCAGAGAGCACCTTTATCTTACCTGGGCAGACCTTGCCTCAACAGACTGCTGAAAGTAGCCCTGATCTGTTCTGTCTTTACCAGAAACCACCTTACATGAAAGTGTTTTAGGGGGTGGAGGGGCAGGAGCATTTCCTTAGGCTCTTTGACTGGGTTTGCAGAGATTTTTTTTGGTCTCGGAGTAGGGATGGTGAATTTTTGGTGCTGGGGGAACCTCTCATCCCCAGCTCCCCCCGGTTGCCGCCGATCTGCGGTTCCGTGTTGGACTCAGGGTCACAATTTGACTCAGATTTCGTTTCATTTGCACAAAGACTCATTGACGCCCGGGCCTAATGAACATCAATATTCTTAATGACAAGGAAAAGATCTGTTTTATGGGACTCCAGACAGGCAGCGTCTCCGTGCTCCTTCTGCAGAATCACAGGAAAATAGCCCCGATCTCGCACGCCTTTGGGTTGCCAGCACTGCAAAGTTCAAACCCCAACCTCAGAGGAAGCTCTCCAGATAAGAGCATCTTTCTTGGGAACCTCTGTCAAAGTTTCACAGAATTAAGTGCTGTGCTGCCTTCTCAGCCTGGCTTCTGTGTTTCCAATAAGCAATCCAATTACACACATTCTTTCTTTAGAGTAGTGATGATACTGTTGATTTTCGTGCCAAAAGATTCATAGTAACACAATGGGAATCT